ATATACAATTTAGAATGCCTTGAATTTTGAATTTTAATAGACTAATAAATCAATGTGCGTGCACTCTCTATGTGTGATTTGCTATGGAGATTTGGTGATATAGTTGATAATGTCAGATGGCACATCATTAAAACAACACTTACCATATTATCGCAGATATACTGTATACCGCACACCCCAGCCTTACTTGAGTGGAACATGAATCATCTGCGGATGTGCACGCACTTGTTTGCACATAAGCAAAGGTGTTTTTAGGAGTCTAACTTGCAAGCGCCAGACCACTGATTCGTCAAACCTGCTTTCCTGCAGTCCGTAGAGATATACTATTGAGTCCGTGTTCTTCTGACTTTATTTTGTAGTAACGAATATGCTACGGGGAAATGTATCGGAGTAAAAGTATACATTTTAAATAGGAAATGTAGTGGAGTAAAAGTAAAAGTCGCCTGAAATATAAAAACTCAAGTAAAGTACAGATAGCCTTCTCCCAAAAAGTACACCACTGAGTATAGCCTTTTGCTTGACATTAAAAATAGCATATTATTATTAATTTAAATATACACTGATTATTAATTTAATCAGTGGCATCACATGCCAAAGCACACTACATATTACATATGCTGCTCATCAGTATTACTATCAGCATGACTATCAGTCGTGGTCTTTGCGAAAGTAGGGTTCTCAGTTAAAGTGAGATATATATGATTAGCTGAAATTCATCCACACTTGCGCAACGGTTCGTCTTTGACAGGTCGCTTCACAGCTCGACTTTCCAGATCCAACTTTTTTTGTGTGTGTGGCTCAGCAGGATTGTGAAAGCCAAAATCCTCTAGACCATTTGGCCGGCCACAAGTTGAGAAGAAAGTTAGTCATCTAATTTGTTTTCTTCAACACTGGTCATGACTTTAGTAAGTTACAAAAAGGTAAATTGGCCCAATTTGATAGATTACATCTTGGCCAACTGAAACTAGTTCTTAAAACACAGTCTTAACATAGTGGCTATGTTTATTCAACCGGCCCCCCTAATCCTCCAAGCATGTCTATTTCCTCCAAGCCTCTCTTCCCAGTTAGAGGGTGTGCTTTTTGACAAGTTGACCTCACTCCTTTTGTCTCTGTGATGGACTGCTATAATGATGTGGTTTAGATATTTGCTTTTGATGTTTTTGTAAGATGCTTTTGCTTTCATACCCGAGTCATACGCCGTTGTAATATGAACTACAGTTGTGATTCCCTTTTATCTGGGAGAAACTGCACAAAGCAACACCATTGTAATTTGCTATATTAGTATACAGTATATATCTCTTTTGATCACCAAGGCTGCATTTATTTAATCATAAATACAATAAAAACATTTATGTTATGTATATAAAAACATTGTAATATTTTGAAATGTTAATGCATTGTAAAATAACTATTTACTGTTAGATATATATATATATATATATATATATATATATATATATACTGTTAGATATCTTTCATTATTCTTACTATTTAGATATATTTCCAAACATAAAAAAACAAAATCAATCAATCAATCCTGGAACAAACAAAACATTCCTTAAAACATAAACGCTATGAAATTGAGGACACTATAGCTTTAATATTTGGCAAATATTTTCATGATCCTTCAGAAATCACTCTAATATGCTGACTTGCTGCTCAAGAAAATTGTATTATTATAAAAAAAAAAAGTTAATATTTTTTTGGAAACCATGTTGCACTACCAGTTTGGTGTAAGCTCTTTGTTATTTTTTAAATAATAATAATTAAGCAAGGGTACATTTAATTGATTGATATTTGAAAACCATTTCACAATATTACTGTTTTTACTGTATTTTGATCAAATAAAAGTAGCCTTGGTGAGCATAATAGACTTCTTTCAAAAATATAAAAAATCTTTATTATTATATATATATATTTATTTATTTAGTCATTTAGCAGATGCTTTTATCCAAAGCGACTTACAAATGAGGACAATAAAAGCAGTCAAAACTAACAAAAGAGCAACAATATATAAGTGCAAATGACAAGTCTCGGTTAGCCTAACACAGTACATGTAATATATATATGTAATATATGTAATATATACATATACATACATATATATACACATACACACACACGCATACATACATACATACAAACACACATATACATATATACACACCCATACATACACACATATATAAACGCACACACATACGCACACACACACACATATATATATATATATATATATATATATAGTGGCTGGCAACTTTTTTCAAAAATGCTGGCGGGGAAAGAGTTAATCACAGTTCTTTCATGATTTAACAGGAGGGGTCAATTAATTTTTCATGTAGGGCCAGGTATGTTTGGACAGCTTTTTTCCTTAACAAATGAAATCATCATTTAAAAACTGCATTTTGTATTTACTTGCATTATCTTTGTGTAATTTAAAAATTTGTTTGATGATCTGAATCTTTTAATTCTGACAAATATGCAAAAATTTAAAAAACATGAAGAGAGCAAAAACATTTTCACGGCATATATATATATATATATATATATATATATATATATATATACACACTTACATATAAATACATACATACATATATATACACATATACATATATAAGAAGATAAATATAGATAAAGTAGAATTAAAATAGAATAGAAAGTGCTAGAGTTAGAGGGTCAAGTAAAGGTGGATATATATATATATATATATATATAGCATGCTTAAATAGAAATGCATGGCAGGTTCAAATTTACTTCCACACGAACTTGGAATTAAATTATAATATATTACACACTTTTTAGTTTTTAGACATAGAAATTTCTGTAAGATGAGTTTTCATCAGACGCATTTCATATCAAATGACCACTGTGTTATAACATTATTGGACTTATTTGGTGATTATTTATGTTATGATCACAGCACAGGAAATAGAATGTTACCTTAACGTCAAATCAGCTGTACATTACTGAAGGCTTGACTTGTCTTTGATTGTCAGTGGATCATGTGATATCCTTTTGTCGCCAGTGATGGAATGTCCTAGTGACAGATCGCAAAGGCCAGGCATGGTCAAGTGATTCCTGTTATCTTTGGAATGCTGTCCTGATAAGGATCTGAGGGCCACACTTACTGTCACATGTTCTATACCTGTTTTTCGGTGAAACACACCTCCAGAAGCGCTGTGAGAGACGAATGTTCTCTAGCCAAGCATGAAGAGATATGCACACCCTTCCTTTTTATTGTCTAGACATGAGGCTGACTTTGGGATGCAAGACAAATTACTTAATACACTACCAGCGATTGATTTCTCCTGATCTTTTGAGGGTTTCTGATTAAATGCTTGAAATTAGCTTTGTATACACACAGTTTTGATCATTTTACTGTTGTTTGATAATGCGGAAAGTAGTGTAAATTAAGAGCTGTAGTATATCTTGTTGAATGGATGATGCAAGAGAGGTTTTTTTTTATTTAAAGTTCTTATATATTAGGAAAAAAGCACATGTTCATTTAAAATGTTCCTTTTTTTTAGCAGTTAGATTATATTAAATGCAGCATATAGAGGCAAACTGATTGTCTCTGTCTTTTAAAATATTCTAAAAATATATTGTTTAAAATGTTTTAATGGTGGTTTTAGAATATTAAAGAAAATGTTGTCAGCCCCCAAATGCACATTGTGCATTAACATGAAAAAACAAATGCAATTCATGATGTCAAAATGAAATCTAATGCAGACAGCATTGATCTATACATAAAAACAGCTTGTATTAAAAATACAAGATGTCTCTTAAAATTAGCATGATATGCAAATGTGGATGATTCTGTTATGCCTTAGTTAAATTACTACTGTACACAGATATGCAATATATTCAGATGGTGAAAAGTGCTTTATGTTCACTAAGGTTTGGTTATGTACAACATCATTACAACAGCTTTGAGATTTACAAGAAGCCTCAGTTTTTAAAGTCTTTGCATAATGAAGAGAGCAGATGCAGGTGATCCAGTTATATAACAGCAGTTCAGCTTCATAGAAAACGATAATATCTGGTATGTTCCCAACAGAGAACAATTACAATCATTGAGATATTGGCTATTTACATAACTCTTGTGACTTAGGAGTTGACTGCCTTTTTTGTATATATTTTGCATACACACACACAAATGCACTTTTTATAAAATATAATAAAATATAGGTAATGGCAACATGACTCTTGTGACTTAGGAGTTGACTGCCTTTTTTTGTATATATTTTGCACACACACACACAAATGCACTTTTTATAAAATATAATAAAATATAGGTAATGGCAACATCACTCAATTTATAAAACATAAATTAAGGATTTTAGGTTAAAATATACTCTACGTATGAGGGAACATTTTTATGTTTTGCAACTGATCAGTATTTCTGTTAAGTTTTTCATTTTCAGAACCACACAGACGATACTTTGCATGAGTTGCAAGCTGATTTGATTTATTCAGATGCTCAAAAGAAGTTGCCCTGCTGAACAAAAGCAATAAAGCAGAATAAAAAGAAATGAATCACTTTTTTACAAAACATGCACTGCCAGTTTCCTGCTCGTAGTCATTAACGTGTTTGCCCTGATTTTCCTGATTTTGAGGGTTCGGATATGCACAGAAATTGAAATCAGTTCAAACGTATTAAAACCTTCCAAAAGTGCAACAAACAAAAAAAAGATCGGACCTAAAGATGACTTGCAGTTGCAAAGTTGTTTTGAATAGTCCAAGTGTAATTATAATTAAGTCTAGTAAGACTAGAGTGACATCTTAAAAAAAAAAAAAAGTAGAAGTTGTCAGTCACCAGAGCAGATATTGATCAGTCTTGTCAGGTGAGTGTCACGGCCACCCAAATTTAATTTCCAGAAGGTACACCTGCAACCTGTGACACACCTCCAGATAACCAGCTATAAATACAGCTGCACCCAACGCAGAAATTACAAGAGAGCTTTTCCCACCAGATCATCTCTTAACTTCACTTCACCATGGGGAACTTCGCTGCCTGCTGCAGAGGATTCTGGTGCAAGGACAAAAACCCTGACGTCCGGGTCAGTCTGCCTGCGGTCTGCTTCGTGTGGCAGATCGCCATGATCATCTTGTTTGGACTGTTTGTACGTTATGATGAAGAGTCGGACGCGCACTGGTCTGAGCACAAACATGAGAACAACATCACGAGTGACATCGAGAACGACTTCTACTACAGATACCCAAGTGAGTTTTCAAGTTCTGCATGGATTGATACTAAATACAATTAATTTATCATTGAAACTTTTTTCTTTTAATTTAATCACTTTTTTTTTTAATCAGCAAAATTATCATATTTGGTTGAGCTTGAAAATTAGGGAGGTTCTGTTATATGTTGATCCATTAACCACCTCCACCCTCTTTCTCCTTGCTCGGCAGGTTTTCAGGATGTGCATGTGATGATCTTCGTGGGTTTTGGCTTTCTCATGACCTTCCTGAAGCGTTACAGCTTTGGCGGGGTCGGGTTTAACTTTCTCATCGCCGCCTTTGGTCTGCAGTGGGCTCTTCTCATGCAGGGCTGGTTTCACTCTCTGGACCCGGCTGATGGCCAAATCAAGATCGGAATTGAGAAGTACGTTTTGCACCTCGCCTCACACCCTTATTTAAGGTCTTTGGCTCCACTTGCACATGAAGTAAAGCTGTTTTTTGTGTGTGCCACATAGTGTCGTCATATGCACGTTTAAATCAACACACTGCAAGTGTGATTTTGCTGATCAGTGCATCAAAGGATTATGATTTATGTGATACAGCTGATGTAGAAAATGAAGACCAAAAATGAACCACCATCTTTCTTTCATCAGTATCATCAATGCCGACTTCTGTGTGGCTGGATGTCTCATTGCTTATGGAGCTCTGCTGGGGAAAGTCAGTCCAGTGCAGCTGATGGTCTTGACACTATTTGGCATCACACTGTTTGCAGTCGAGGAATACATCATTCTTCATGTTCTCCATGTAAGAAGCAGTGTTGTTTTAGCATTATTTATTTTATACTCTATTATATGGTTTAAAATGAAAAGTATAAAAATAAAATATTAATAATGTTAGTTGTACTGTACGTTTGTAAGTTGTTGTTGTTTTTTGTTTTTTTTTACATTTAACAGACAAAAAGATTAAATTAGAAGAACTTTCCATTTTAATTTTCTATTTTTAATTCAATTTTGTATTTTTTTCTGTCCTGCACAAACATGTTAATTTAAATTAATTAAATATCGACTAAGCTTTAATTTGCCTTAACATGATATTAACTCAAATCTTTTGCAGTTAACTGCTACATTTTTAGTAATTTTGTTATGTGCTTTTTTGTTTTAAATTATTTTATTTTTATGTTGCCTTGGTAAATAACTTTCATATGTTTGAGTTTTTTATATATATGTATATATTCATTTTAATTAATTTAAGGTTTTAATACTTTCAAGTGAAAAAAGTAAGTTCTTCATAATTTGAAATAAAGCTGAAATTAAATTATTATAACTTTTTTTTTCAATTAACACAATGGTTTCAAAAGGTTTTATTTTATTTCCAATTAGTAATTTTAGTGGTTCATCTAAAAATAATAATAATAATTGAAATGTTGCCTTGGCAACTACCTGAATTAGATTTTTTACTTAAAATTGTATATATATATATATATATATATTTTTTTTAGGTTCAATTGATAATGACAACCCTGGTGAATATCCATTATCCCCAAGTCCTGAATATTCCTACCCAAATCAAGAAATTCTAACAAATTGTTCTGACTTTTCCCAGGTTCGGGACGCTGGCGGATCCATGGTCATCCACACTTTCGGAGCATATTACGGTCTGACAATATCATGGATTCTTTATCGACCGAAACTAAACCAAAGCAAGAATCTGAGCGGATCGGTCTACCACTCGGATGTCTTTGCTATGATTGGTAAGTTATGACTTCTTTTACATCACATAGATACCCGTGATAAGATCTTACCATGAGCTGCTTTAAAAAAAATCCAGTGCTTTAGCTGAAGATGTTCATTTTTACAGGGACTCTCTTCCTCTGGATGTTCTGGCCCAGTTTCAACTCTGCCATCGCAGATCATGGAGATGGACAACATCGGGCCGCCATAAACACCTACCTCGCGCTGTCTGCTTCAGTCCTTACTACATTTGCCATATCAAGCCTTTCAGCCAAGAGGGGAAAACTGGACATGGTAAATAACAGCACTTCATCATGTCACAATTACATCTGCAGCAGCGACTAAAACTCAAACTAAACTAAAACCATCAAAAAAAAGTTACTTTTTTCTTAAAAATCTTATTTTACTTCAGCATTCAACATTTTCATTTACTTTAACTTAAAGTACTGAAATGAATATAAACATTCATAAAGACATATTAAAAAACTAATAAATATGAAAAAAAACATACACAACAAATTTGCCAAAACTTTATATAAAATTAAAATGAAAACCAAAAATATAAAAACAAAAACTTAAAATATTTTAAACACTAATGAAAACTAGTATCTCTGATACCGAAATCTGTAACATTGCATCTGCTTTGTGCAACTTAGGTGCATATCCAGAATGCAACTCTGGCTGGGGGAGTCGCCATGGGAACAGCGGCTGAGTTTATGATCACAACCTACGGTTCTCTCATCGTGGGCTTCTGCTGCGGGATAATCTCCACCTTCGGCTACCTGGTGATCACTGTGAGTACAAGAGCAGGTGCCTTTGAGCATCATATGCCATGTGAGAACGGATACATTTATATCAGTTTTTTTTCCATGCAGCCCTTCTTGGAGAAGTATATGAAGATTCAAGACACATGTGGCATCCATAACCTGCACGCCATGCCCGGTGTCCTCGGAGCAGTCGTGGGTGCCATCACTGCGGCTACTGCCAGTGAGAGCGTCTATGGACATGAAGGGTGAGTGTGAATGCAAACTGTTACTTAGATTAGATTGCAACTCACTTAATTGCTTTAATTGTAAAAGTCAAGTCACATTTATTTATACAGTACTTGATACAATACAGATTGTTTCACGGCAGCTTCATGTTAACAGAGAAAAAACCGTGAACCCCCTGATACACGGATTATTAAATCAAGTAGGGGAAAATTGCTGAAAACTAATGTATATTACAATTTAAATTAATAAATAACTTTACGCTTTTCTCTTCCCGAATGAGGTATTTTTGAGATCAAAATACATAATTTTGGGAGGAGAATCATCTCTGTATTGCAACAGAAAAAAGCAGCTCTAAGAAGACAATATAGTGCCACTAACTATTCAGCTCCGCTGAGATTCAGTTCAGTAACAGCACTGATGCTGCAAAGTTAATGTCATTATCCAGCTCAATTCAGTTCACATTTGGCTTTCTCTTAACCCATATTGTCAGAGCAACCAAATCAGTAATATCACTGAATATTAATTGTGTTTTTGAATACTAAAAGTGTGACTGTTGCTGATACAAATTCCTTTTTCCTCAACAGGTTAGTAAACACCTTCGATTTTAAAGGGGAATATGCTGAAAGGACTCCTGCCATGCAAGGAGGCTTCCAGGCCGCCGGTCTTTGTGTTGCTCTTGCTTTTGGAATCGTAGGTGGAGCAATAGTAGGTGAGCACCCAAAACATTTCTTTAAAGTAACACATTTTTGTATGGTTTTAGTGTATTATAATCAGTTTTGTGGGTAACTCTTTACAAGTAACGCAAGTTACGTAATCAGATTACTTTTTTCAAGTAACTAGTAAAGTAACGCATTACTTTTTCATTTACAAGAGAATATCCGAGTTACCTTTTTTTTTCTTCTTCAATTTATTGCTTGACAGCTCTCCTGTCCCCATGTTGAGAGAAATCAGAAGATGTTACTGTAGTTCAAAAATAAATATGAATATGCATTAATTCATCTCACTCACAAAAAAACAAAACACAGATTCACTATTCCTCAAAATGAATAAAAATAATGCAACTTAGAATATGCAATAATTAAATGTTAAACATCCCAAATATCCTTTATGTATGTAATCCCATTCTATTAACCAATGTCTTTGCTTCTGACCTTCGATGATCCAGTTCAATCATGCTAATAAGCACAAATTACTCTAGACGAACATTTGTGTGTCTTTTTTATTGCTGAAGTGTGTTGAAATGTCTTCTTCTGCATTCTACTGTACGGACGTAAATGTACTTTCCCTTCAGCCTGAGGCTTATTCATTTCACTTTTGGCGTGAGAAGGCTTTTATATTTGCCAAAAATAGAACTTTTTTATTTTAAAAACAAACAAGCAAGCCCTGTCCAGATTTAAAAAGTAGCTCAAAAGTAACGTAACGCATGACTTTCCATAAAAAGCAACTGAGTAATGTAATTAGTTACTTTTTAATGGAGTAACGCAACATTGTAATGCATTACTTTTAAAAGTAACTTTCCCCAACACTGATTATAATAACCCTCATATATGTATATGCAGGTTTTATCCTGAGACTTCCGTTCTGGGGAGACCCCTCTGATGATAACTGCTTTGATGATGAGGTGTACTGGGAGGTGAGCTTGATTTAATTTGTATTTACTTGTTTCACAGCTAGCTGGCACTATAGAACTCGAATAAGAACGTACTAGTCTATGTACCTAAATGTGACAACTAGCCCCGGTTTCTTTTATACGGTGTGAACTCTTTCGGTTTGGATTGTTTTCAATGATTAAAATCGTCCTTTCCAGGTGCCTGAAGACGAGGAGAGCCTCCCTCCCATTCTAGAGTACAACAGCCACATGTTCGGCAAAAATATGTAAGTATATACTGCTAAAAGAGAGACTATACTATATAATATTAATACCCTATAAGACGATTTGTGTATATAGAAATGTAGCCTAGTATTCCCTTCCATTTGATGTTATTTTATTGAGTTAAAATTGCATTGTAAAAGCCACTAGGTGGCGAGGAATGCTTGTTGCACTCTAGTACATGACCATGCGATGGCAGTACACAACCACATTATAGATTTCCAGCTTTAGGCGCACTTGATGGAGCACCTTTTTATTTAAATGAATTGTTTTGAAGGTCTCATTCATTTATTCCTTCACTGTTTCACCGTTCAGGTCTAACTTCACTGTGGAACAGAGCTAATGCAAGAAATAAGGACGTCGTTATAGCAAAAGATGCACCTGATTACATCATATTGGTACCAAAAAAAAAAAAAAAACACAAAAAGATTGTTCAGACCAAGTCTGTGCTGAAGAGAATAGAGTCCCTGTAATACCTTTGTGAGGTATTGGCCTGCCTAATAGAGCAGAGGCCCAGTAGGGTCAGCTATTAGTTCAATTTCATGCGCTTTAGAATCCTCAAATTTAATTTATGCATGTATAATTTCTAAAATTAAAGCTTGTATATTTAATTGTTTTTAATCCAACTGTACTACTAGTTCTAGGATTAAACTGTATTACGTTTCAATCATTCTGCAAACGAGTGAAATAATAATTATCGTACTCTGTCGTGTTTGCTGCTGTGTATATGTGACTATAGACTATTGCAATTTAGAATTTATGAAGGTGTTAGTTATTTATCTAGTTATTTTCACGTGTCCAGTGGCATGTAGATTGTTATATTTGATTATGTGAAGGATTACATGAGGACTTTTGAGAGGTCAATGACCTCCGTGTGTTGTTAGACCATGTAGAATGATAGCAATGTTTTTTTATGAAGCTTTATATTCTTCGCTATTCTAAATATAATGTTAAACATAATAGGCCATTTACAACCTTTCTGCTCCGCGACCTTACATTGGTGCCCAAAAACTGTTCTTTTCCAAATGTGAATGTTTGATTGATTAACATTTTATGAACAATTGTTGTACTTTATGTTGAGGTCTATTAAATGTTTTAAACATCTAAAAAAAGTTTCTCTTTATACTTGAATTGTTGCTTTAATTGTCTCAAATATAATTTAAGACAATTCTGCAGCTTACATTTCTGCCAAACTTCCCAAATCACTTGTCTTTGAGTGTTTTAATTAATCAAACTACAGCAAACTACCTGTATATTTATAAAAAATAACTATAGAAGCGCATATAAAAGACATGCATTTTTAATATTTAATTGTCTTGACAAAACAGTGTTTTGTAAAAGAAATAAATCTATTTTAATGAATAAATTTGTTATGTTACTGCTAATCGAACCTGTGATTTTCTGTAGGATCAAACAACAGATTTTCTTTTTTATTTTCTTTTTTCATTACACGCAGTGATTGTTCGCTGGAGTCTGTCAAAATCACAGCAAATGCTCTTTAATTGAGCTGCTGGTCATCTGTTAGCGTGCGTTTGGTCACCCTGAGGCCAGACTCCTCCATTCTAATGGAAATGGACTCCTTGTAGAGGGTCAATTGGGTCATTTCCTGATCAATCGCCGTGACATTTAATGAACTTCAAATACACACTGCTTTTGTGAATGAGCGCAGCAAGACGCCAATGATGGTTTTGAGAGATGTCATGTCTTTATGAATGACTTAAGTGCGTGATTTCATGTTCCTGAATTGAATAGGTGTGCTATTATTAATGCTGAGTGTCTGTGCTCACACTTGACAAAAACAGTGCTGTTTAATATTGCAGCCAGAAAGACTCAAAATAGGCTGTTGAAAACAAGAAAACTCTTTCTATATCAGTAGTTTATATTATGTATATTAAGCACAATATGTACATTTTCTGTACATACAAGATAAAAATTCTGATTTACTAATTTACAGTTTTATTGCTAGTCAATTTCGCAAGTATTTACACAAAACTGTGAAATTTTACAAAGAAATGTGACTTTAAGCAGAGAGACTGAAATAATATTTTCTTGTAAAATGTACTCTAATAATCTTTCTTTATGAAAAATTCGAAAAGTCTTTTTTTTATAGTGTACTACATTTTCCAAAATGTGTAGTATACTACAGAACTCACTGTATTGTTTCTAGTGTGACAACTGAATGAGCCACAGACTCTTTCTTGGCTCAATATTAGCTCTGACTGCCAATACTTTTTTTTTAAAACAAAATATTGGATCAAAAATGCAAAACAGCCGATTTTATTTCCAAGTTTACACCTGCATTTATCCTTAATTTCCACCTGTTACACTTTTTTTTCTGCTTGTCTTTGTTTATTTGATATTACTTTTTTTTATTCAGTTTGACAAAGATTGTGGATTCTTCCATTTGTAGTATTAATAAAGTGGCATATAATATTGTAGCTACAAAAACTACAAAAAAACTCTATACAGTATAGATTATGGAGCACAATGTGTATATTTTCTGTATGCATAAAATACACAGAAGACCTTCTACATTTGCCAAAATGTGCAGTATACTACAGAGCACACTGTATCCCACAATGCAATGTGCTTGACTTTCTATTTTCAGTGTGACAAGTGAATCAGACACAATTTTTAACATCTGTTTCTTGGCTCAATATTTGCCATGACTTCCCAAATTTGAGACATTTTTCACAAAATGGTGATTAAAAATACAAAATATTTGCAAAAATACTGACTTTATCCTGACTTTCCTGAGTTTCCACTGGTTGAGCAGAACATATGAAAATTGTGTAAGCATACTTTTTTGCTTGTCTTTTTAATTTTTTTTTGACATTTAATTTCCCATCTATATTAAAAAAAAAAAAAAAGGCCAGTCTAAAAAAAAATATATATTTTTAATTAAAGCAAGGGGATAAAAATCACTCTTAAAAATAAGGGTTTGAAAAAGGTGAGCCATAATAGAACCATTATAGGTTCTTCAAAGTTCTTAAAAGAACCATTTTTTTCTTAGTGTGAAGAACATTTTAAGAACCTTTTTCCACTTTAAAGAACCATTTGTGTGATAGAAAGCTTCCATGGATGTTAAAGGTTCTTCATGGTACCATCAATGCCAGCCTTTATTTTGACCAGCAAGTCAAGAAGAAAAATACGTCAGGGCAGATATGCAACAGCTCACTCAGGTTTGAGGGATTACAAGGTATAAACGAGATGGACGGCAGCGAAGCACGCCAGCATGTCCAATGATTCCGAGCGGTGATGAGGAACAGGGGGCCGGGGCCCGGAGTTAAGGATCTACCGCTGCATCGAGCTGAGCGGCTGAAAGCAGGAGAGCCAGGGTCAAATCTCCTCTCCTCTCTAATCACACAAGTCTGCAGGGGACGGGGGAGTGGGGGTCGGGCTCTGAGGAAAGGAGGGTGTCGCTCCTGTAACAGAGATGTTCTGGTTAATCCCCTGTGTGAAGGGGAGCGCACGGGCAGGTGGGCCGACCCAGCCTTAGTTTACTCTGAAAAGAACTGCCAGCGGAGTTAGAACGCCCAGAGATCCACACTTGGATCACATAGCTCAGAGGCTGTGTGTGGAACCACTTGGCCTGCCATTGTCCTACATGGCCAGTCTTGTCTGAAAAGCCGTAGAAAGCCTGTAATCAGATTAAAGATTGCCAGGATGAAGGGGGCTAGTTTTTCTTTCTTTTTTACCCTCATATATGTATATGCAGGTTTTATCCTGAGACTTCCGTTCTGGGGAGACCCCTCTGATGATAACTGCTTTGATGATGAGGTGTACTGGGAGGTGAGCTTGATTTAATTTGTATTTACTTGTTTCACAGCTAGCTGGCACTATAGAACTCGAATAAGAACGTACTAGTCTATGTACCTAAATGTGACAACTAGCCCCGGTTTCTTTTATACGGTGTGAACTCTTTCGGTTTGGATTGTTTTCAATGATTAAAATCGTCCTTTCCAGGTGCCTGAAGACGAGGAGAGCCTCCCTCCCATTCTAGAGTACAACAGCCACATGTTCGGCAAAAATATGTAAGTATATACTGCTAAAAGAGAGACTATACTATATAATATTAATACCCTATAAGACGATTTGTGTATATAGAAATGTAGCCTAGTATTCCCTTCCATTTGATGTTATTTTATTGAGTTAAAATTGCATTGTAAAAGCCACTAGGTGGCGAGTAATGCTTGTTGCACTCTAGTACATGACCATGCGATGGCAGTACACAACCACATTATAGATTTCCAGCTTTAGGCGCACTTGATGGAGCACCTTTTTATTTAAATGAATTGTTTCAAAGGTCTCATTCATTTATTCCTTCACTGTTTCACCGTTCAGGTCTAACTTCACTGTGGAACAGAGCTAATGCAAGAAATAAGGACGTCGTTATAGCAAAAGATGCACCTGATTACATCATATTGGTACCAAAAAAAAAAAAAAAACAAAAAAAGATTGTTCAGACCAAGTCTGTGCTGAAGAGAATAGAGTCCCTGTAATACCTTTGTGAGGTATTGGCCTGCCTAATAGAGCAGAGGCCCAGTAGGGTCAGCTATTAGTTCAATTTCATGCGCTTTAGAATCCTCAAATTTAATTTATGCATGTATAATTTCTAAAATTAAAGCTTGTATATTTAATTGTTTTTAATCCAACTGTACTACTAGTTCTAGGATTAAACTGTATTACGTTTCAATCATTCTGCAAACGAGTGAAATAATAATTATCGTACTCTGTCGTGTTTGCTGCTGTGTATATGTGACTATAGACTATTGCAATTTAGAATTTATGAAGGTGTTAGTTATTTATCTAGTTATTTTCACGTGTCCAGTGGCATGTAGATTGTTATATTTGATTATGTGAAGGATTACATGAGGACTTTTGAGAGGTCAATGACCTCCGTGTGTTGTTAGACCATGTAGAATGATAGCAATGTTTTTTTATGAAGCTTTATATTCTTCGCTATTCTAAATATAATGTTAAACATAATAGGCCATTTACAACCTTTCTGCTCCGCGACCTTACATTGGTGCCCAAAAACTGTTCTTTTCCAAATGTGAATGTTTGATTGATTAACATTTTATGAACAATTGTTGTACTTTATGTTGAGGTCTATTAAATGTTTTAAACATCTAAAAAAAGTTTCTCTTTATACTTGAATTGTTGCTTTAATTGTCTCAAATATAATTTAAGACAATTCTGCAGCTTACATTTCTGCCAAACTTCCCAAATCACTTGTCTTTGAGTGTTTTAATTAATCAAACTACCTGTATATTTATAAAAAATAACTATAGAAGCGCATATAAAAGACATGCATTTTTAATATTTAATTGTCTTGTTTCAAAGACATCTGTTGTTATTTTTCTTCCATACAGATGCAAATAACATGC